AGGGAAAAACATCCATCCAGAGTATGGAATAGTCTTCCTGATAACGTAGTGCAAGCTGAATCCTTGGGTTCCTTTAAATCAGAGCTAGATAAGATTTTAACGACTCTGAGCTATTAGTTAAGTTCTCCCCAAGCGAGCTCGATGGGCCGAATGGCCTCCTCTTGTTTGTATAGTTCTTATGTTCTTAATCCGACTCCACTTATTTGCCAGCCACAGACTTGGTCAGACAATGCGTTTAATACTATTAAACTTAGCATTATTGAATACCATGTCGTTTTATAATTTATTTTTTAATATTTATTTATGTAATATGTATGAGTCAGAGAGAAAAAATAGGAAGCTGTAAATAAATAGCTAACATAAGCTGCGTGTGACTTTGCCAGTAGTAGGGGCGACATGTACAAGAAACACAACGGAATCTGCAACTGCACTAAACGCAGAAGAGATCCATGGCTCTGCCCACTGCCCTGCTCAAATTAACACATATTTGCACCCAAAAAAGAAAAACTGAAAGTCATTGCTCAACTTGAATCTATGACACTAAAACGTACAAATCAAACTAGAAATCTTGGTGTAGTTCTGAACTTGGACCTTAATTTCAACAGGCACATAAAGACAATTACAAAATCAGCCTACTGACGTCTCAAAAACATAGCAAGAATTAAAGGATTTCTTTCTAAAAAAATACAGAAAAAGCTTGTTCATGCATTTATTTTTAGCAGGCTAGACTATTGTAGCTGTTCGCAGGTTTTGGCAAAAAATCAATCAGATAGTTACAGCTCATCCAGAATTCTGCTGCCATAGTCCTCACTAACACCAAGAGAGTACAGCATATCACATCGGTCCTTAAGTCACTGCATTGGCTTCTTGTGCATCACAGGATTGAATTTAAAATATTATTACTTGTGTAGAAAACACTAACTTGACTCGGGCCAAAATACATTTCTGATTTACTTGACCCCTGTCAAGGAAGCATCAAGTTTTGATTGTGTGAACCTGTAAGGAAATGTGTTAGACCCCTGAGGTCATCTGGAAAAGGTTTACTCAGCGTTCACAGAATCAACACCAAGAAAAGTGAAGCAGTGTTCAGTTTCTATGCTCCCCGTCAGTGGAACAAACTTCTTGAAGACCTGAGGTTTGTTAAAATTGTCAATTAAATCAGGGATTAAAACATTACTGTTTGCTGCTGCTTCTCAATAAATTAAATCAGTTAAGTCATACAATACCACTACAATATAACTTCTTTTCAGTTAGCGGTTTATTTGCCTTTTAGGTTTTAAATTTTTTTTATTATTTATTTTTATTTTTTTATCTCTTAAATGTGATTTTAATGTCTTATTTAAATGTACTCTTCTGCCTTTGTAATGCACTTTGAATTTCCTTGAGTCTGAATTGTGCTATATAAATAAACATGCCTTGCCTTGCTGCACTGGTCGTTGTCATGATACATTGGCATGAAAAAGATATGTTACATTTATTTTATTTTTGGAGATCCAGTGTTTCACATGTGTTAAAGAAATGTCCCCTGATAATTATACATATCATAATATCACCATCATGATACAACTTCTCCCAGTGAGAGTCACAGTCTTCACCTTGTTTTGTGAGATCCCCAGAGAATTCCTGAGCCATTTAAGAGATGTAATCCCTTCAGCATGTCTGGAGACTGTCCTGGGGCTCTGTCCAGCGGGACATGCATAGAAAAGCTCCTAAGAACTACCTCAGCTGACTTCTCTTGATCCAAAGCTATATTATCAAAAAATGGCCAGGTATAACTAATGTTATTATTTTTGCTCAAAATTTTTTGGGATATTTTGTAATTTTTAAATATATAATTTCACATAATTTTCATCCATTTTCTATAGTAAAAATCAGGAAATTAAACTGCCGACCTTTTGGCCACAATCACTATCTTACAAGGTGATATGGATAATATACGTCTCTAAATATTTATCACTTACCCTGATGGGCTGATACTACCTTTCATGCACTAGCATTTAATTAAAATCATTTCATTTATTTTTCTTGGACCAACACGTTAGTTAACATCTGACCATGAGTCTATCCCAGGAAGCACAGAGACAGTAGGAAAGTAGGAAAACACCTTTGACATGCAAGGCATACACATACATGTATTATTGGTCATTTAAGAAGCCAAAGTGCCTAACTGCATGTCATTAGGCTGTTACTTGATTTCGACTAGTAACATGCCAGTGCTGATGCTGATAGGGAGCTAGTTCTAAGATGGTACTTAAGTGGCATGATCTGAGAACCAGTCTACATTTCCACTGGTTAAAAACAACATTTACAAAGCACACATAGAAGAATTTACATACCAGACACAAAAATGGCCATGTAACATTTCTGAATTCATTAAGTAATGTTTTTTGTTGGAAAATGTTTAGCCTAATACTAACTTAAGCCCTGATTCTTAAGTTAACATTAGGTGAAACATTCTTTTATAGAAAACACTACCTAGCTACACTACAAAGCTTTACTAATTAATATTTATAAATAACTATTTGCTGAATTTTTGCTGTGTAGATTTTGAGGTTGCACAGAAGTTATGCTTCAGCAATGGTTTGGGGTTCTCTCTGAACCAGCCATTCATAGGACATAACAGTCCCTGGATTCAGTTGGACACTGTTCATTCAAAACTTCAGTTTCCCCCGAGTCATTTGACTACACATCACCATCTCAAACATATATTCAGGAGGGAAAGCACCAAGTTTTGACTGTGTGAACCTGTAAGGAAATGTGTTACAATCGCAATTTGAAGGTTTGTTACCAACAACAAACACAGAACAGTGAGGCATTTTTTCACTTTTTCCATCCCGCTCTGCTTTAAAGAGCTCTTTGTTTTAGTTAGTCTTTTTATAATTTGTTAATAATTTGCTCCATACTACTGTATGAATGTAGCCTACCTTCTCTAGCTCTACTTTAATTTCTGTTTTAGCAAACACTAAATCAAACAAAACATCAACTTCTGGAAATAACAAATGTGGCTCTGCTGAACTTTACAGCGCATTGTAACCCCGTCCCAAGTCAATGTTTAGGCCAGAACCAGTTTCTCAGGTACGGCACAAGGTAATTGGCAGTGGAAAAGCATGGAACCAGTTCCAAATTAGGCACTAGCTCGGCCATGACACCAACACCGCATTGGTGGAGAAGAGCTATGTGACAGAAAACCTGTAAAACACAGGGAGATTATATAAACTCACAAAGAGAAGGGACAGAATTCAAAGAACACACTCGAGAGCTGCCCCATTGATAACCCCTGAGCACCTGTGCAGCCCTATTATTCAACAAATGTAGAATAATTACATTTTATAATGAGTGTATTGTAATATATTCATTATATATTTTATCATTTTCATAAATTGTCTGCAGGAAAAATTACTTCAGAATGATTGATAAGCCTCAAAAATTAAAAATGGATCAATGAACGTTACATTTATATAGCGCTTTTCAACAAACCCAAAGCGCTTTACAGAACAATTGGGCAAGCACTTCAACCATCACCACTATGTAACACCCACCTGGATGATGTGACGGCAGCCATTCTGTGCCAGTATGCTCACCACACAATAGCTAAAGTGGTGAGGGGGCAGGACAGAACTCACCAGTTAGATATATTGGATGATTAGGAGACCAGATTTGAAAGGGCCACATTGTGCAATTTTAGCCAGGACATCAGGGTACCACACCTACTTTCAAAAGGTGCTCAGGGATCTTTTATGACCTCAGATAATCAGGACATTAGCTTTATGTCTCACCATCTGGCTTATTTGTGATGCCACTACAGCAGTGTCCCCATCACTGCAATGGGGAATTGGGATCCACACGGACCATAGGATGGGCTAACCTGTTGGCCACACCAGCACCTCTTTCAGCAGCAACCCAGCTTTCCTAGTTGGTCTACCATCCAAGTACTAGCCAGGCCCAAACCTGCTTAGCTTCAGATGGATTACCTAGTCAGAACTGCAGGTGGTATGGCTGAGTAATTTAAGTCAGATGTATATCAACTGTAGAATTTGGCTCTGGTTATTTTTTCAATAACTATGACTGTAAAAAAACATGGTAGATGCCTGTTAGAGAGATTATAATAAGAAGCAAAGACTTGTGCGAATAAGAGAGGCGAGAATGCAGAAAAAGTACAGCGGCCTAAAAGTAATAGCAGTGTGACAGGTTTATGCAGTGAAGAGGAAACTTACAGACAGCCTTCATTCATCTTATAAAACTTCTGTCGGCTAAGACACATTCGACAAACATATTTTGATGTTTCCATGTCTTCCTGTGAAACAGAAAAAAATGCAATCAATTAATTGTAGATTGAAAACTCTTGGTGCCAAATTTTTGTTTAAAAACAGTCACTCCCAATAAAAAGATCAGAAACTTACTGTCTGAAACTGAACCGTGTCCTCTTTGTTGACTAAGTCTAATGTAAAAAATGACTTATTGTGATTCATGCTGTTAATGTCATTCCACCTGTATCACCAAGTGAAACACAAAAAGCAATTTTAGATGTGTTTTCAAAAATGCATAAAACATAAATAAGTGTAATGCAAAATAAATCATCACATTGGGTCAAACCAAACATCATGTGGATATGCCATCTAAGATACAAATACAGTGATCCTCCGCCTATCACGGAAGTTACGTTCCAGACTCACCAGCAATAGGTGAAAATCCGTGATATAGAAAGACCATATAAATTAAAATTTTTTTTTATATAGTTTAAGCCTTAAAATACCCCTCCCACACATTTTAAACACATGTAAACTTATTAAAACACACTTTGTAAAGACATATGATATGTGCATGTCGGGCTAAGGATGTAACATAATAATAATAATAATAATAATAATAATATGTATATACAGTCAGGTCCATATATATTTGGACACCGACACAAGATTTACTATTTTACCTGTTTACTGAAATATATCCCAACTGAAGTTCGACAGGCGGATCAGTGTGGCGTCAGCAGTGATGCAGGCGCTGCATCGGTCTGTCATGGTGAAGAAAGAGCTGAGCCAAAAGGCAAAGCTCTCTATTTATCAGTCGATCTACGTTCCTACCCTCACCTATGGTCACGAGCTGTGGGTAGTGACCGAAAGAACGAGATCGCGAGTGCAAGCGGCCGAAATGAGTTTCCTCCGCAGGGTGGCTGGGCTCTCCCTTAGAGATAGGGTGAGTAGCTTGGTCATTCGGGAGGGTCTCAGAGTATAGCCGCTCCTCCTCCGCATTGAGAGGAGCCAGATGAGGTGGCTCGGGCATCTGATTAGGATGCCTCCTGGACGCCTCCCGGACGCCTCCCTAGTGAGGTGTTCCGGGCATGTCCCACTGGGAGGAGGCCCCAGGGAAGACCCAGGAGACACTGGAGGGACCGTGTCTCTCGGCTGGCCTGGGAACGCCTCGGGATTCCCCCAGAGGAGCTGGATGAATTGGCTTTGGGAGAGGGAAGTCTGGGTTTCCCTGCTGAGACTGCTGCCCCCGCGACCCGACCTCGGATTAAGCAGGAGATAATGGATGGATGGATGGATGGATGGATGGATGGAAGTTATACAATGGGCATGGACATAAAGTGGGGACTCGTAGATTTCATTTTAGGGTATCCACATTCAAATTGGATGAAGGGTTTAGGAGTTTCAGCTCGTTAACATGTGCCACCCTCTTTTTAAAGGGGCCAAAAGTAATTGGACAATTTACTTAAAAGCTATTTCATGGACAGGTGTGGGCAATTCCTTTGTTCTTTCATTATCAATTAAGCAGATAAAAGACCTGGAGTTGATTTGAGGTGTCTTGTTTGCATTTGGATGATTAAGGTGTGAACATACAATATGTGGTCAAAAGAACTCAGTATGCAGGTAAAACAGGCTGCGAAAACAGAAAAAACAATTTGAGAAATTGCGACAACATTGTGGCAAAATCCACAGTTTGGTACATCATGAGAAAGAAAGAAAGCATTGGTGAACTCCACAACGCAAAAAGGCCTGGACGTCTACGGACAACAACACTGGTGGATGATTGCAGAATCAATTCCATGATGAAGACGAAAACCCCTTCGTAACAGCCAACCGAGTGAACAACACTCTCCAGGAGGCAGGCGTATCAATATCCAAGTCTACCATAAAGAGAAGACTGCATGAAAGCAAATACAGAGGGTTCAGGCATAAGCCTTAAGAATAGAAAGGCTAGATTGGACTTCGCAAAAAAACATATAAAAAAAGTCAGCACAGTTCTGGAACAGCATTCTTTGGACAGATGAATCCAAGATCAACCTGTATCAGAATGATGGAGGGAAAAAGTATGGAGAAAGGCTGGAACAGCTTATGATACAAAGAACCCCTCATCATCTGTAAAACACAGTGGAGGCAGTGTGATGGCTTGGGCATGTGCGGCTGCCAGTGGCACTGGGTCTTTAGTGTTTCTTGATGATGTGTCACAGGATGGAAGCAGCTGAATGAATGCTGAGGTGTTCAGAGACATCATGTCTGCTCAAATCCAGCCAAATGCAGCCAAATCGATTGGGTGGTGTGTCATAATACAGATGGACAATGACCCAACACACACAGCAAAAGCAACCCAGGACATCATTAAAGCAAAGAAGTGGAATATTCTCGAATGGTCAAGTCAATCACCTGATCTCAACCCCATTGAGCATGCATTTCACTTGCTAAAGACTAAACTACAGACAGAAAGACCCTCAAACAAACAGCAACTGAAAGCTGCTACAGTAAAGGCCTGGCAGAACATTAAAAAGGAGGAAACCCAGCGTCTGGTCATGTCCATGAGTTCAACACTTCAGGCAGTCATTGCCTGCAAAGGGTTTTCAACTAACTATTAGAACTGAACATTTTATTTGCAGTTATATTAATTTGTCCAATTACTTATGAGCCCCAGAAAGGAGGGGATTGTGTAGAAAAATTACTTTAGTTCCCCACATTTTTATGCAATGTTTTTGGTCTATCCACTGAAAGCTGAAAGTCTGCACTTCAACTGCATCTGACTTGTTTCTTTTAAAATTTATTGTGGTAAAGTACAGAACTTAAAAATTGAAAAACTTTGTCTCTGTCCAAATATTTATGGTCCTGACTGTATATACACATCTCTATCTCTCTCTGTATACGTAATGGAATATGTAAAAATAAAAACATTTTAAGCTCAGTATGGGTTCACAAAAAGTTTGCTCACAACAATCGGACCACAAGCAAGGTACGCGATACTCAGAGAAAGATCTTGGGAAAAATCCATGATATAGCGGGGGTGTGATGGCTGAACCGCGATATCACAGGGGATAACTGTACTGAAATATATTATATTAATATATATAAATATATTTTATATATTTGTAATATAAAAAACTAAATTCCTTTTTTGTTACATTTTAGTGAATATAGTATGTCATATTTTACTTTAGCTGTCCATCCCTTCTGTCCTTACCGGAATATAACAGGCTGTCTGCTATGTTTATATTTGATGACGATTCCATCCAAACATGTCCCAATGAGTATATCTGTTCCCTGGCTGTCCTGTGTTAATGGAAAATAATGAAGAAAAAAGAAGTCATGTAAGATTACATGCTCAAGTGCTAACTACTTTATCTTGGTGTGTACATGGAGTCTTTATTTTACATTATTTATAGTGTCTGTTTGCCCTTTCTTTAGCATTGAAACTTTTTGTGCTATATTTTGAAGATCTGGTAATCTTCAAAGTAATGGGATGCAATACAAAGTAACGGCAGGAGTAAACTAATAATATACACTTGTAAAAGCCAAATGGGAAATATTAAACATACAACTAATTTTGCATCATTTAAAATCTGCAATGCAATGCCATTTTAAAAAAAGATGGACTCCCACAATATTGTGAGTTAGCCAATGATAACTATAAAGCTACGTGCCCTTGAGTCTGTAGGAGTAGCCAGCCTATCCTTGTCATCATTTTGACTTAAATTACTCGGATTAATTTACTTTGCAAGATTCCTGTATCTCAAGGTAATTTCCACTCAATTAAATAAAAGTAAATTCATAGTATAATAGACACGTTTTATTAGATTAACCTCCTGAGACCCTACCCATTCATTTATGTCCATTGTAGTGGACATTTTGTTTTTGCATATATCTTTTCACTGATGTAAGGAAACTTATTTATTCCTGTTGTACACTAAAGAGGACATGCTGTGAAATTAAAAATAAAAATAAATTTGAAAAAAGATGTCTTATTTCCTCCAAAGACATAGAAAAACACAATTAACCTAAAACTGAAGGACACTTTTTTCCTTGGGTCTCAGGAGGTTAATGTACTGTATATTCTGATAGCGATATGTTTTATTGATTATAACCATGTACCAGGGTTTCAGAGGTATATCGCTTTCACGGTATACCATGAAATGAAAACATGATTATCAACCCAAATGCAAAAAAATGCAACCAAACGGAGAATCTCACCTGCTTGAGCATATCTCCTAATTGGCTGCCTGTCAGACTCAGCAATTCGCGCTGTCATGCCAAATCTCTCCCACAGTGTCACTACCCAATCCATACCACCTGCCTGATTTGTACTTTGCATGTCTGCATTTTCGAGTATGAGTGCACTGCATTGCATTTTCTGGTACTGCCCAATTCATCCTGCCATTTTATGGTAAACCATATTGTCTACAGTAACAGCAAACTACACCGATTGCTTTATGGTTTGGCAAGTAGTGGTATTAATGATTCTGCTGATTGAAAAAAAAATCTGTTTCCTTTGCTTCTCATTTTAAGTGTTCACTCTTTGTTTGATTTCAGGACTCACTATGGTAGTCTATTTAGTTATGCAGTTTTTGGATCAACACTTTGTACTTACAGGAACTGAAGTTTGACTTATTTTGCATTTGTTGCAGCCATATTTATATCACTTCAAATCAATAAAATCAGAAAAAATAGTTTCAGCAAGCATTTGCATCAATAAAATATGATTACGTATGTTTTTTAAAAGGAGTGTTTTTACTATTATAAAAATGATTCACATTTAGCTTGATAGTATAAGAGTCATGTTTTATTAGATTATTAATGCTTTATGGATTATAACCATATATTTACAGTAGCTTAATGAAAATTGTTTCATTGACATATTTTATCAGATTAATAATGTATATTTAGCTCGATGGTTTTGTTATTATAAAGAGATTAATTTTTTAAGATCCTGCTCTTTTACTCTTTATCATTTCTTTTGTTGGGAGATGTACAGTTTTCTTTATATTTTTATTTATTATACTTTTTACACATGCTTCCATTTTAAAAATTGTTTCAAGTTTCAGCAATTATAAAGTTTTTGTTCAACCAAAAACAGTCCTTCTGTTTTCATCATTATAATGGTAATTTCAACTGATAATAATGATTGTAATACACTGTTGCAACCCTAATTGTTTCAGTGACATGTTTTATTAGATTAATAATACATATTTAGCTAGATAGTGGCATGTTCAACTGATTATATCCGCATATATAGCTCCACAATGGCATGTTTTATTTATTATTACCATAATAGCTTGGTATCAACATGTTTGCTTTCCTGGCATAATTTTACCATGACAAATCGATAACTGAGATTTTGTTCTACCAATATGCATTTAATTGCAAAACTAAGTAATCCAACCTTTCAGGCACAGACAATTATATATACAGCACTTGTGGAAACGTAAACTTACATGCCAATTTGCGATGTTTCACCACCAGTTAAGTGGTTAACTGTATTTCTTTTTTTGTGTCTTAATGTGCATGTCTTAAAATGTCATTTATAGTTTTCGTATTCGGTGATGTTTTACATTAACTGTACCTTCACAATGCATTCATACAACAATCAGTCATAGCAAGGCACATACACATATACATACATAATATATTACACATACATATATAATATATATAATGTATTACCTTGGCATGATAACTCTCATAGCCATAACCTTCCATTTTCTCCACTTCTTGCATGTACAGCATTTCAGCTTCTGGAGCCAACAGTCCTCTGACAAAGAATGTTCAGAATTAAACACTGCATTACTTATAACTTTTTTTTGCATCAAAAGGTAGAAAGACTATTAACATTTTGAACATAATATGGACAACCCCACCCATAACTATTGGGACCAATACCTCAAAATGATTTTCAGTTCGGAAAAAGCACAGAGAATTAAAGACTGCCGGGAAAAAAACATATTTTAGATTAGATACTCTGTCCAGCATATCTGGATATCTTTCAGTTTTTCTGGTAGCAATAGACCTTTAAATAACCTTTCAGGTCAATGCTTAAACAAATTTTACCAAACAGTGCAACGTTTGAACCATGCAGTAAAATTGCTATTTCTTCTGTAAATTTTCTACATTGGAATGTCTAGGCAGTTTGTCTCATTGCACATTATCTAAGGATGTTTTCACATAAAGCTCATTTTAATAGAACCAAATCCATTTTAAGTGGACCAGAAAGTGGTCCAAGAGAAAGAGAACTCAATTCTCTTTGAATTCATATTGCCCATCACCTTGCAAAAGCACTTATGCAACACAAAACACATCCTCATAGACTAAACAATCATAGAGGAGACAACGTGTGCTCTAGCAAAGTAAAATAACATATGGCTTATTTTTGATGCCATTGACAACCCTTGAGTCATTCTCACTGAAATGTAGATATTACTGTAAAGGAGAACTTCCATCAGATGTTTATTAAACATTTAATTTAATTCGGTTCTTGAATACTATTATAAATTAATATAATCTGTATAAAGAATTCATAATAATGATTGGACATTTGTGACATCAACACTGTATAGTATGCCGTTGTGGCCAAAAAGCATAGAGAAGAGCTGAGCGAGCTCAGCGTACTTTGTTTTATTTGGATTTCCTTTGTTGGCCCTAGAAAACACCCTAAATGCTTAGTTTAGCTTACTTACTGTATATACACTCTACATTGCTTTTGGTATGGGTTGATTCTTCCATGCGGTTGCATGCTTTATTTTTTTTGGTTGCATGCTTTTTCACTTAAGTGTATTCTCCCATTGTCTTATGTCTGGGGTTAACACATCGTTACGTGGCCGAATGCAATATTGCAGTGTTCAGAAAGCTGAACATGTAACAAAATGAAGCTTTTTTAAAATAAATGTTACAATCTATGATGCATGTGAATAATTCATAATTATATAACAAGACTATATAGAAATATATGAGTGGACACAAGCATATCACCTTTAGGCAGGATTTCAAGTGACATCTGCCTTGTCAACCAGCCCGGTTGGCAAATCAGTTAGGATAAACGACTGGTGGATTACGAAATAATTCTTTCAACTGAAATGAAGGTAGCAAAGGTTCAAAGGTAGCATGTTCCCACAATCCTAAGTGCATGTACTTGCCGTGCATGTACTTGTGCTCCTGCCAGAGTGAGACAGAGACACCTTCATCTTGATATTCACCGACACACACTGAATGCATCGCATGTTTTCTGGGTGGATTGTAAACCACTCGGAATTCTGGATTGTCCCATATTTTAGTACAGATACATACACTTCATACACACAGTACATACATTAGATCATCAGGTGTACCCAATGAAACTACCTGACCTGGACACTCTTCTAACTGGGAACCATTCTATGCTTAATGCAGTAGATGTATGTTTTGGAATAATGCATCACAGCCTATGCTGTAGTGGACTATGCAGTTCATTGCATTATTATTTTATTAGCAATTGATTCTAAATTTTCAAACCATGCTACTAATAATACTAACATAAAAATATATTGGTTCGGCATATTCGCTTGTTTGCAGAACTTCTGAATGAAGAGGGTAAAAAACAGAAACTGTACCATATGAATTTCTCTAATTTCTAAAATATGTTTAACAGACTCACATTACAGTATTGTCTAAAATGTTGATTTTGCATCTGAGGTAATCAGTTGCAGAGTAAAACAACTGAAATAACAAACAACTGAAGAAATAAAGGTACATCTTATTGTACTACTTGACTGTCTATTGTGGGTTACTTGCAATAAAGTTGAAAGATTTAAAAACATCTTCTCTCGTTTTGTGTTATTTGAGGGAAATTAGAGTCCATGTTTGCTTGTTGACAAAATCACTGAGGATGTAACCATCTTTTTTTGCTTGATGAATTAATTATACGTCTCACACGGCTGCGCAGTGCATGGTGTGACCAGTGCCTCTGTTGCCTGACTGCAACCAATCTTACACGTCAATAATTCATTTTTAAGACACTAGCACCTAAACATCACAACTGCCTACTTTCCTGTAGTAGACAAGTAATTGGAAGACAGACGAATGGATGGACTTAATGACTGAATTTCCACTAAGGAACACAAGCTAAAGATATGCAAATGAATTGTTAACATTTACATAAAAATCTTTTCAAATTTTAATATTCATTTAATTTTGATATATAATTATTCGGGGATGCCAAAAAAAGACTTTTATACATATATGATTAAAATTCAAAACTCAAAATATTAAATATGCATACAAGAAATATTCAGTTGAAAATCTCATGTATACCTGCACTTTGTATAAAGTAGTGCCACTTTTTGCATGGCTTCTTCCAGCACAATTTCATCCTGAATCCACCCCTTTAAAGAGAAGTATACACATTATAGTACAGAAAGGGATATTCAAAAAATGTAATAGCTAAAAACAAACATTATGATCCAACTAGTATGACCAATAACTAAACACAGCACACTTACTATAGGAAACAGGTCTAACTTCTCCAGAAATTCTTGGGAATCATAGTGATTGAAGTCACCAAAATCGGCTAGGGGAAAAAAATATATATTAAATCATGCATTTTTTTACTGCTCTGCTCACGTTCAGCTACTTACCAATACCAATAAGGGCTAAGCATATCTTAAAATATAATGTGATGTTTTAGATTTTAAAAATCAGGATAAACAATATCGCTATTACCCCCCATACATTCAAGCACACACGCACGCACGTACGCACACACACACATACACAAAACATTTTATATACTAATACTCATAGTCAGTGTTAAAACTTGTCACCCAGGGAGGGGGAGTGACTGATTGGCAGTAGATAATAATTTTTACTTTCTGCGGAAGGTTATGCTTTGGTTTTCATTGTTAACTCTTAAGTACCTGCTTGCCACAGACATTTAGTCCCATTTATTTTGTTCATTAATGATATTGCTTCATTCATTGCTGATATTACAGTTATAGGTATCGGCACATCGGCAAAAACGGATACATGAGTATGTTATCGGTCAGTCCCTGTTAATAATTACAGGAGTTTTTATTGCCTTTTCTCAGTTGTCTCATGGGTTTTTGTCTAAGTCTTATGGTCATGTTTTCCCACTGCTCTTCCTGGTGAGGGTGACGATGGCAGCATGCCAAGCAGGTCAGACTAACCTCCCTTATAAAGGCAGAAAAAACTCTGGGTGTGATGCCAGTCCTTTCACAAATTGTGGGCAATTTAATATCTTTTTAATATCACTCCTCTGGTTTTGCCTAACTCGTCTTGCACTCTCATTGGCTGTATCTCAATTGCCAGACGCGACACCTTCACTCCTACAGGATTTGGAGTTGCCGACAAAGTCTAGATATTTATCTCGCCAAATATCTGCCGGGTGTCTGCAACCCATCGGTGCCTCCATGGGGTTGCATCTTTGAACAGTTCACACGTGGCGATCGAACAACGATTTTGCTGCTGATCTGGGGACTTTGTTGGCGACCTCCAAAAACTGTCAGTAAGTGGAAAATCGGGACTAAAATTGCGTAGTGTGAACTTAGCTTAAAGGATGTTCATGTTTTTAGACTGTCTGAAGAAACTACATTACCTACCATGCACAACAGGTTTAGGACCAGCAATATATATTTCTTTTTATCATGCATAATTTGTCATCCACACTACAGCATCAATGTGTAATATTGTGTTATATTGTATTGCCAATCCTTAACAGTTTTAAAAATGTACAACTCAGAACTTATTACAAAACGAATATTATAAAACACTGCATCTATTTCAAATGATGCTTTTGATGTTTGATTAGAAACATACACCCTTGTAAACTTGTATGTGTAAACTCCAGCCTACACTTAATACTGTACCATTAAGTTATAGAAGAGTGGCCTTAACACTCAAAGTGAACACCAAAGTAAAATATTTATCCGTTTTATGTGAAAGTACAGACGCTCCTCTACTTACGAACTTTCACCTTACATACTTTCAGACATACGAACGAAGAGGACTGTAAGTCCAAACTGTGGTCATTGGGCTCCCGTTTCCTGTCCACAATATAATTTTTTTTTTTCCTGCACATCAATTCTGCCTAGTATGACTTTTGGCCGCTACTCCCACCGCACAGCAGCATAACGTGTGTACTCCCAGCATCCTAGTTTTTTGTACTTAATTATACCCTTGAAATAATGTTGAATAACAACTTTTAACATTTCAAGTTATGAACGACTGTTCGGAACGTATCTCGTTCGTAAGTAGAGAAGCGTCTGTATACCACATTTACAAATAGCATAGTTGTGTTTACTTTGGAAGGGAATTCATAATTGAAAGTAAAATTCTACTGATCTAATAGCTACATAACGTATTCCCAGTTTAATCCTTGACAACATCATGAATAAAGATCTACAATGTCTTGACTTATCAACCAATAAGTTTTATTCAACCATCTGTGAAGACCAAAAGGCCATTTTAAAGATTAAAATTGACATACCTTGCACAGCTAAGCCTGCTAAATGAGTTGCCTGGTCTATCGAACAAGTTATTCGACCTTCCAAAACATCTTTCTTCAACTGAAGGTAATACTGGTATCTGTAAGAGGAGACAGTGTGTTACCAATATTAAAGGTTGCATGCACATTATTATCACTGAAGAAAGGGGCATGGTAAGTAGCACTGTGATGTCACACTGTCAGGGTTTGGTTTTCATTCCCATCCCCACATATACCATGTTGCCAAAAGTATTGGGACACCTGCCTTTACACACACATGAACTTTATTGACATCCCTTTCTTAATACATAGGCTTTAATATAGAGTTGGTCCACCCTTTGCAGCTACAATAGCTTCAGCTCTTCAGGGAAGGCTGTCCACAAGATTTAGAAGTGTGTTTAAGGGAATTTTTGACCATTCTTACAGGACTGCATTTGTGAGGTCAGGCACTGATGTTGGATGAGAAGGCTTGGCTCACAGTATCTGCTCTAATTCATCCCAAAGGTGTTCTATCGGGTTGAGGTCAGGGCTCTGTGCAGGCCAGCCAAATTCCTCCACACCAGACTCACTCATCCATGTCCTTATGGACCTTGCTTTGTGCACTAGTGCACAGTCATGTTGGAACAGGAAGGGGCCATCCCCAAACTGTTCCCACAAAGTTGGGAGCATGAAACTGTCCAAAATGTCTTTGAATGCTGCAGCATTAAGAGTTCCTTTCACTGGAACAAAGGGGCCAAGGCCAACCCCTGAAAAACGACCCCACACCATAATCCCCCTTCATGAAACTTTACATTTGGCATAATGCAGTCGGGCAAGTACCATTCTCCTAGCAACTGCCAAACCCAAAGTCATCCATCGGACTGCCAAACAGAAAAGTGTGATTAATCATCTCCACTGCTCTAGTGTCCAGTGGCGGCGTGCTTTACACCACTGCATCCGACGCTTTGCATTGCACTTGGTGATGTAAGGCTTGGATGCAACAGCTCACCCATGGAAACCCATTCCATGAAGTCCTCTACATACTGTTCTTGAGCTAATCTGAAGGCCACACAAAGTTTGGAGGTCCGTAGCTATTGACTCTGCAGACAGTTGGTAACTTCTGCACACTGTGTGCATCAGCGTGCATCATCCCCACTTCGTGGCTCAGTTGCTGTTGTTTCCAATTGCTTCCAATTTGTTATAATACCAGTAACAGTTCACCATGGAATATTTATGGCGCTTTTCCACCACACCAGGTACCGTACTTTCGGTGCATCTTTTGTGTCGGTTTTCCACTGGCGTAAAACTGGTACCGGCGTCAAATGACATAATCAGTGACCGCCCCTGACTGACATCATCACAAAGCACAGCGCAGTATTTCTTTCGCTGAATTCAAACATGTTATTATGATCCTTCACTTTCCTGTAGTCCTGCTTAAGTTTTTTGATTTTCAAGCGGCATTGTTCAGTGTTTCGCGTGTGCCCCATTTCTTCCAAGCGGCTTGCTATTACGGCAAATACTTTCTCATTTCGAGTCGTGCCATCCGAATCCTGCTGGATCTGTTCATCCGACCATATGGCGATTAAAGCCTGTGTTTCCTCGTTTGTCCATCCTTCCATTTTACTTTTTTTATATTTTTGTTTCTACTGCTTTTTATTTAGTTTCTTGCTGTTCGCTGTGTGTTTCAAAAGGTGACAGTTGTATTTTGTGTTTCAGCGGCAGGCTATTTGCATAACCAATCAACAGCAAATATGTTTGCAAGTCCCACCCCAAAGTACCGAAGTACCAAAGAAGTACCCCAGCTGGTTTGGCACTTTCGGTACTGGTACTCCACCGGCAGTCAATGTAAAAGTGAAAGTACCGAAAGTACCGTACTTTGTGCGGTGGAAAAGCACCCTTAGTAGTGAGGAAATTTCATGAATGGATTTATTGCACAGGTGGCATCCTATCATGGTACCACGCTTGAATTCACTGAGCTCCTGAGAGCAACCCACTCTTTCTCAAATATTTGTAGAAGCAGTCTGCATGCCTAAGTGCTTGATTTTATACACCTGTGGCTAGTGAAGTAACTGAACCTGAATTCAATGATTTGGAGGAGTGTCCCAATATTTTTGGCAATATAGTGCATATGTTTGCATATATAGTATTATATAATGGGGTATAGTGAGTACCAGTGTGACGTCACACTGCAAGGGTTTGGTTTTCACACCCATCCCCATCTCTGTGTTTGCATGTACAGTATTTGCCTGACCTTGTTATCTCCTGCTGTAGCTGAGAAACATCTGGCACATAAAACACAACTCCAAAGTAAGCTGTTGACTCCAGTCCATACTTTTCTAGCTGTTTTTTCAGTGGTTTTTCCAGGTCAATCCATCTTTTCTGGTTTTGCTTGTTAAAATACCAGAGACTAAAACAGGATACCTGTAAAGACATATACACATACACATGTGGTGAGGTACAACATATCAGATATTGTTTTTCATTTTCCCTATTTTTTCCTATCTTTATAAATGAGGTGACATTTAAATAGTATCTTGACAAATCGTGGCAAGTAAAATCTAGCTGATAATGAATACATTCATTTTTGGAAAACGATTCTCAATATTCAATTCAATCCATTCATTACTCATAACTGCTTGTGCTATGCCGGGTCATAGCAACGGGCACAAGGCAGGGAATAACCCCACTAGTGGTAGTAGTAGTATTAGTAGCATGTTATTGATCCCGAAAGAAATTCCAAAAGTAGCAGCAGCACACACAAAAAGTGACATCACTGTACATATGCAAAAGACACAAGATGTAATACTGTACAAAAAACACAAAACGATACTAGATTGCAATGTGCAAAATAAAGTGTGCAAACATTTAAATACAATACTATTCTAGAGGGCTGGTGACTGAGTGGGGGAGAGGGGATCAGGGGGGATACTCCAGTCTGTTATCCAGGTGCACCCCGAGGTACCTGCAACTGTCCACCACTTCCACATCCTCTCCATCAATAGTGACTGAAGACAGGTGGCTTTTTGAACTCCTGAAATCAACCACCATCTCTCTGGTCTTTCCATTGTTGAGCTGCAGCTGATTTTTATTGCACCACTCAACAAAGTCCTTCATCAGCTTCCTGCATTCCCCCTCCTGATCTTCCCTAATACAACCAACTATGGCCGTGTCATCAGAAAATTTCTGCATGTGATACGTTGACATGTTGTATTTCAAGTCAGCCATATAGAGGGTGAACAGGAAGGGAGACAAGACCGTCCGTTGGAGCACCCCTGTGCTGCTCACCGCCATGTCAGAGACACAGCCATGGAATCTCACAAACTGTGGTCTGCCCGTCACGTAATCCACAATCCAGGAGACAATGGGTGTGTCCACCTGCATGAGACAAAGTTTCTCCCTTAACAACGCTGACTGTATGGTGTTGATTGCACTAGAGAAATCTAAAAACAAGATCCTCACAGGGCTGCCAGCCTTGTCCAGGTGGGAGTAGGCTCTGTCCTGCAGGTAGATCACCACATAATCCACTCCAATGTAGTCTTGATTGGCAAACTGTAGGGGGTCCAGAAGTGTGTCGACCATTGATTTGAGATGAACCAGGACAAGCTTTTCTAAGGTGTGACGTCAGAACTACTGGTTGATAGTCATTAGAGCTGCTTCTTCAGGGCTGCTTCTTCTTCGGGACAGGTACCAGGCATGATGTCTTCCACACCACTGGGACTCTCTCCTGGCTCAGGTTCAGATTGAATAAGCGTTGGAGAACTCCACAGAGCTGCTTAGTGCACAGTTTCAGCACTGCTTATGCTATGCCGGGTCATAGCAACGGGCATAGTACAGTCGAGCACGGTTATTACGATTTTCTGGGGCCAGCAGATTTCTTTCGTTATAACCGAATTTCGTTATATCCATTTTCATGTAAGATTGCTATGTATTATGACTGATCGCTAGGCACATGTATTATGACTGTATAAAATAACACTGACCTTCTAGTTCTGTCTATGAAGCTTTGTTTCATGTAATGATCAAAATAAAACATCTTTTTTTACTATCAAGCAACGTGTACTGTATTTTGTAATTCAACAACCATTTAGTATGGACCACGAAATCGATAACATATTACATGGTGGTAGAACGCTACGCACAGAAAAAAGGTACATATACCGGTACATATCTATCAGTTGAAAATGAACTCCCCACAGTGATTTTCTGAAAATATTTAAATCGCTATTATTTTCCTTATCAAACACAATCAGATTTCATTACAATTGGAGCACCCATTAATAGAAAATTCAAAAAATACCCACAGATGTTACTGTAATCTTCTATTCGTAAGCGATATTTGGGCGCCATCGCATGAAGCGCAGACGGCTACTGCACAGACCATTTCTGCTACGTGATTAAGCTGACGTCGGACTTATTTTAAACTATTAAATCTGGAATGATTGAGGCAAATCGTTATAACCGAATAAAAATTAATTGAAATATTTCTTTGGGGAAGACAGTAGACATCGTTATAGCCAAATTTTCGCTATAAAAGAATCGCTATATGCGTGTTTTCTTTAAGGAATTTAACATTACTGAAGGTCGGGGAATTGGAATCAAAGCGTTACAAGCGTGTTTTCGTTATAAGCCGAATCGTAATAACCATGCTCGACTGTATTGCCTTGTACACTGATGCTGTTTGGCACTGCTGCATTCCCTCAATGAAGTCTCCTCAGTGCTTTCAACACTTGGTTGTTGTTGAAGATCAGTCCATTATTACTGGTTGATGGCAGGGGAAGATCGGGTGAGAGTGAAGAAATACTTTTTAGAGGTGTTACAGCCCGAGTCATTATGGGGCAGGGAGGATAGCTGAGGTGTCTGGAATACAGGGATGCGGACTGGAGAGGGGGAAGGGGGAGGCACAAACTGCTCAGAAGATTGGTGAGCTAGGGATCTGGATGGGTGCAGAGTTGGAAGCCCTTTCTCAAACCTGTTGAAAATCTGATTCAGCTCATTGGCCCTGCTCAGATTCCCCTCCACTGATTGTGAGTTAGGGTGTTTGTAGCCCGTGATGTTTTTTAGGCCTTTCCACACCTCATGAGCATTGTTCTCTCCCAATTTCTCCTCAAACTTTTTCATGTAGATATCTTTGGCCTTGATTGTCTCCATCAGTACTCTCTGCACCTGCTTTATTTGCTCCCTGTCGCCAGCTCTGAAGGCTCTCTTTTTTGATTTAGTAGAGCCTTTAGGTAACTGATGACCCAGGGTTTGTTGTTAGAATAACAATTTACAGTTAGGGCTAGGCAATATCATATTGATATTTTATCGTGCATGCACAATAATCACCAGGGCTTCAGGTGACAGACGAAGCATTTGGCTAGAAGCCAGCTTTTCGGTGTTATGCGGACGTTTATTTATTCCCATAATTTGGTAAGGAGATTAGTAGTATAGCTTAAATATTAATGAGATTTTTGTGATACCCAAAAGTTAGTAATCTGTGTAAACTTTATGTTTATTAAATTTGATTAGCCTCTCCTGGAGCCGACACCTTATCGTGGTGGAGGGGTTTGCGTGTTCCTATGATCCCAGGAGTTAAGCTGCCCGGGGCTTTATGCCCCTAGTAGGGTCACCCAAGGCAAACAGGTCCTGGGGGATTAACCAGATGAAGTGCGGCTCACAAGACCCCTAATGATGAACAAAATATTGGCCGGACCCGGTCACCGGGGCCCCTGGAGCCAGGCCTGGGGGTGGGGCTCTATGGCGAGCGCCTGGTAGCCAGGCCTGCACCCATGGGGCCTGGTCGGGCACAGCCCGAACAAGGCACGTGGGTCCCCCCTCCAATGGGCTCACCACCTGTAGGAGGAGCCATAGGGGACGGGTGCAGTGTGAGTTAGGCAGTGGCCGAAGGTGGGGACCTTGGTGGCCCGATCCTCGGCTACAGAAGCTAGCTCTAGGGACATGGAATGTCACCTCTCTGGTGGGGAAGGAGCCTGAGCTGGTGCGCGAGGCTGTGAGGTTCCGACTAGATGTAGTCGGGCTCACCTCAACGCATAGCTTGGGCTCTGGAACCAGTCTTCTTGAAGGGGGTTGGACCCTCTTCCACTCTGGAGTTGCTCACGGGGAGAGGCGCCGAGCTGGGTTGGGCATACTTGTTGCCCCCTGGTGGGGAGCCTGTACATTGGGGTTTGACAGTGAGACCTGGAGGGGCATGATTGGGAGGAATGGCCACCCCCGATCTGGACCCGAGTGGTGTTTTGTTGTTGGACTTCTGTGCTCGTCATGGATTGTCCATAATGAACACCATGTTCAAGCATAAGGGTGTCCATATGTGCACTTGGCTCCAGGACACCCTAGGCCGCAGTTCGATGATCGACTTTGTGGTCGTGTCATCGGACTTGCGGCCGCATGTACTGGACACTCGGGTGAGGAGAGAGGTGGAGCTGTCAACCGATCACCACCTGGTGGTGGGTTGGCTCCGCTGGTGGGGGAGGAAGCCGGTCAGACCTGGCAGACCCAAGCGTATAGTGCGGGTCTGCTGGGAACGTCTGCCAGAATCTCCTGTCAGAGGGAGTTTCAACTCCTACCTCCAGCAGAACTTCGCCCATGTCCCAGGGGAGGCGGGGGACATCGAGTTCGAATGGGCCATGTTCCACGCCTCCATTGTGGAGGCGGCTGACTGGAACTATAGCTGTAAGGTGGTCGGTGCTTGTTGCGGCGGCAATCCCTGAACCAGCTGGTGGACACCGGCGGTGAGGGATGCCGTCAAGCTGAATAAGGAGTCCTATCGGGCTTTTTTAGCCTGTGGGACTCTGGAAGCAGCTGATGAGTACCGGTGGGCCAAGCGGAACGCGGCTTCGGCGGTCGCTGAGGCAAAAACTCGGGTATGGGAGGAGTTTGGCGAGGACATGGAGAACGACTTCCGGGCGGCTTCGAGGAGATTCTGGTCCACCATCTGGCGTCTCAGGGTGGGAAAGCAGTGCAGCATCAACACTGGGGGTGGACTCGCCTATCTCTGGGGCAGAGGTTGCTGAGGTGGTTAAGAAAGCTCCTCGGTGTCCGGGCCCCGGGGTGGATGAGATCCGCCCGGAGTTCCTTAAGGCTCTGGATGCTGTGGGGCTGTCCTGGTTGACACGCATCTGCAGCATCGAGTGGACATCGGGGGCAGTGCCTCAGGATTGGCAGACTGGGGTGGTGGTCCCCCTCTTTAAGAAGGGGGACCGGAGGGTGTGTTCCAACTATAGGGGGATCACACTCCTCAGCCTCCCTGGTAAGGTCTATTCAGGGGTGCTGGAGAGGAGGGTCCATCAGATAGTCAAACCTCAGATTCAGGAGGAGCAGTGTGGTTTTCGCCCTGGCCATGGAACAGTGGACCAGCTCTATACTCTCAGCAGAGTCCTGGAGGGTGCGTGGGAGTTTGCCCAACCAGTCTACATGTGCTTTGT